AAGTACTGGACTTCGGATATCAACTCCACCCCGAGGCGTGGGTTCTAATCCCGACTAGGACGGCGCGGATTTTAAGGTCAGTAACAACTCTACGATCCACAACCTGGACGCATGTGTGCATTAGAAAGAGAATTGGTACCAAAGACGTCTCCTAGAGTGCGCGCACACGGATATGGAATATGATAATCTCATCGCAAGTAAATATTTTTAAAATATATTATCAATATTACATTGACAATATTGCTGCAATATTGTCAGGGGGGCGGACAACAAACTATTGCAGCAATATTATTTCGATATTGTTAAAATATTGTTAAAATGTTTTTGACAATATTTCAGCAATATTTTTAAAATATTTCCGTGTTGGGCGGGTCACATGTTGTTTCAATATATATCGCAATGATACACATCGGCATAATGCAATTTTAAGGATTATGGTGTTCAAAAGTATATGAGCTCGGCTTGAAGTGCCTTCATTTTTTGCGATACTCTACGCTTTGTCACGATGTTAGTTAAGTTGCCTGTCCGATCTCAGCCCGACTAAAGTCATGGAGTTCACTGCACGCTCTCCTGAGTGTGCATATTTCTGCCATATTTTTACGGATGGGAAAGTGTCTACTCACATTATTGACAACATAATCAACACTCTAATCCTCTTCTTTTATATTTGAATTTTTCAATTTTCTATATTTATTAGGTAAACACTGGCTTGCAAATTGTTGGCGATTGCTAATTGCCTGTGACACATGTATCAAAATTATCAAAAAAGTTGGATTAAATGAGAATATAGGTAACTGGAGAGAAAGGCAACAGAGAGCTCATTAATTTGTTCTCTTTTTTATTAGTTCAATGGCTTTTGTCCCATTGGGGCCTACAGCCAACAATTACCTATTTTCTTTCTTTTGCGATCTTTTTTGCAGGTTCTGGAGAAAGTAGAATAGAATATGGTTGTTGTTGCGTTGTTCCTTCTTTCCTTTGTGACGTGTAACTAATTAAAGTACTTGACAGTGAAAATCATGACAATGATAATATACTTAATGTGCCACAATTGCAATGATTAGTTATATGTATGTGATGGGTATACGCCACCTAGAAGATGATTCCAGTTTAGGTGAATATATTTGTACATCCTTTTCAGAGATAGCCAGAAACAGTGAACAATTTAAAATTAAGAAAATCAAACAAGATAGTGACAAAAAAGGAATACAATGGCATAGATAATTTATTTGATGAACGAGCAGTGATTTGAATCTTCATTTGCATATTCACGAGACATACCGTGCCCATGTTAAGCACATAAATATGTAAGTATTTCAAAAGGGTTGAGTCAGATTTACAAAATAACGAAGTACTTAAAATAATCTACGCCAGGAAACTGACCAGTCGTAAGTGGGGGGTGGAGTCATTCAGCGTGCAGGCTCATTGGTTCATTCAAGTAACCGCTGTCCTTGAACAAGGCTTCAACCAATCACCTTCCCCATGCCGCTCATTGACTCCGCCCCTCACTCGCCGTTTCTCGTCACTGCATGGCGCGGACTGTAGCGTATAGCCCCGTGGGCGTCATACCGAGCAAAACTCCTTGCACCGTCAAAAGTCTTGAAACGAATTCCACTCTGGGGCCTATAATACCTCCTACCAAGCCCAGTGGGATGATTGCGGATCGGAATTTACCCACTTTTCGGGGAAATAACATCGCCTCCCGAAACGGAATCTACTCATTTTATAATGTGAACTTCACTCTAATTGTAAGCAGACATTCTTTACATTTCACTCTACATTCCTATCGAATAAGCTCCGATGTGAAATGCGCGATTTTTGTGCGAACTTCAGTATCATTTCTGCAAAGCACGAAGCAAACACCTTGAAATCAGAAGAATCCGCGAAAACGTTCTCTTGGAAATAATTAAATTGCCCGGTTAAATTTGGCAATAGCCGATGTGGCTTGGTTCCTTTCCACTAAACGCGGTCCAAATATGAAATCAATCAAATTGTAGCCACTTACAAACCCTCTACCTCCTAGCATTATTTTCATTTCCGTGTGAAAGACCACGTTTTCATGAAAAATAAAATCTAGCGATTTCGCGTGAAATATTTCATGAAATTTCAGAAATTTATGAAAGATAGTGCAGAGCACCGATATACCTCTTCATGTTTCGCAAAGTGCAAAAATTGTGACTTTCTTCTATTTTTGTCTGATCGAGTGCGGGTTGCATACTCTAGCCCCTGAAAAATATGGTGCATTTCACAGCCTCGTGAAACTTCGTGAAATATTTCACTGAAATCTCCAATCTTTCATTTCTATCTTACGTTTCGCACCACCGTGCTTTAGGAACACGCATATTCACTAGTCGTCTTTTTTTATGCCATCGGTCGCCGCCACTGTGCGCAATCATTCGTGTAATGTTTCGTTGATGCCATCGCATAATGGGCGGAGCTTAGTTTGTCAAACTGAGCTAGACCATCAGTCACGTGACGCTCTGACGCCATCAGTCGCAATCACTCGTCACCCCAGTCCGGATTGCGTCTATGAAGCACCATATCAGTGAAACCTAACCTCTAACAATTTTTTAGCAGCGTGGTCGTGACTCGTGATTCCTCGTCACTCGTCAAGTTGTCTGTGATTGGATGCGGAAAAATGGGCGTGACCATCAGTCGCAATCACAGCGATGCCATCGGCAAGCGACCGGCGCAGAGACAAGAGACCCTCCACTGGCCTCCTAGTCCTAGCGACAGGTGGAAGCTTTTACATTCGTGGTTTCAACAATTCCTTATGGACAGTTATTAGGGAGCAACAGTCATCATCATCACCCTAATTTCGGCTGTTGACCTACCTATACATGGTCGATGATGAGCTTCGGGTGACGTCATGAGCCAAACAAGTTTCACAAACTTCGGCCATTTTCGACTTGTTTGTAAAACGAAACTGCCAACACGCTGTTGAACATCAACCATGAAGGCAAAGTCAACAGTAGAATGCTAAGTCCCGAAAGTAAAAGCTTCCACAATGGCCAAGATACTAGTGGAGGATCTCTTGTCTCTGGACCGACGCGACGGCATAAAAAAGACGCATTATTTCAATAGAACAGTGGTGATAACGAAAGTAGCAGATAGGAGCAAGGACGTGACGTCAAACTTGGCGGCTGCGAATCCGCACCCGATGACGTCTCCTTTGTCGATCCACAGCGTCACCCTGTTATCGGCCTCGATACCCTGTAGCGTGAGCAGCATATTTTTAGGCGGCATCGTCAAGTTTGTACGTCGTCGTCGCCAATACTTCCCGAGTCGCGGGGGTGAAATGAACGTCTCCCCCTCGGTTAGAACCCCTTCGTAGAGAGCGCTGGACGGCGGCTCGGGGGTGAAAGTCCAATAGCCGCGAGTCTCACCCTTGGCGTTGATCAGGGTGATGGTTGCACCTTCCTCCGGTACCTCCAGGAGAAAGTACCTCTTCGCATCGCCATCTTTCATCGTCACGCTGGTGTCCGATCCCATTTTGAGCGTTTGCGGCATCGTCTTCGCCCTCTGTGCGACCCGAACTATCTGTTCTCGTAGCGTGTAGTGCGACTCCGTCTTGAACTTGAAATCGGCGTCGTTGTTCGCGATTCTGAGGAGCTGACCGTCGTCGATCGCATCGCCGATTCCGAAGGCGCAGGTCACGATCCCTGAAAAATGGGAGGAAAAATTGTTAGGGTTTGTAGAGTAAAATTTAACTGCATGTGGTTCTCGGCCACACACTGAAAAAAAAATCTCGGTGTATTTACCAAGAAAAGGGTAAAATTACCAAGAATTCAGGGTTCTATTTGATCCCAGTTTTTTCTTGGTAAAATTACCATTTATGGAATTGGTAATTTTACGGAGAAATCTCGGTAAAATTATTGAACTTTCTCGGTAATTTTACTGGACCTTGGTAAAAACGCCAATATTTTTTATCGACTGTGGTAGAATTACCGAGATAAAATGGCAAAGTTGCCGGGTATTGATTACCTTAAGTGGTATTCTTACCTGAAAAAAAACAGTAAAAATACCGATTTTTAGGTAAGCTTACCAGTCTGAGTCTGTCTCGGTAAAATTATCAAGAATTGGTAAAAAAGTGAGATGGTAAAGGTACCAACGGACCTTGGTCAAAACGCCAGAATTTTTTTTCAGTGCACTATGCCGTTCTAAGGCATGAGTACATGTAGTCGTAATGTAAGTGGGAGAGCCGGCGCAGCGCCACTTTTAAGCATTTTCCAGGTCCCGAATTCCGAGACTCCTGTGTCACGCCGGGTCACTTTTTCGATACCCAATCGATTGTTTTCGATACGGGGATACACCCAGTCATCCGATGTAACAAAGAAGATAGGAATTATCACGTATTCCACACCGCCATTTTGGACCGAACATGTATCGAAAAAGTAGTGACCGAAGCCCAGCGTACACCGGGCTCGGAACTCGTCGAGCAGAACATGGCGCTATAAAGCTCTCCCATTGCGACTCTATGCACTCTATGTGCTAAGGTTTTAGACTCTGTGCGAAAACGTCGATGGCTAAAGGGCGAAACTACACCGAAAGAAAAGATGCTGATTTAGCATTCTGAATGTAAAACAGTGTGCGACAACTCAGGAAATGTTGAATTTACTACTACAGCAGTTGGGTTCACGTCTTGATATTGCTGAAGTAACTGCCGTAGCGGTTAATCCAGCGTCGTGTGAGTTGTCGCACACTTTTTTACATCCAGAATGTTAATTAGCATTCTTGTTTTTTCGGTGTACGTATCCCCATTGCTGTGTTTCAAATAATCTCTGCTCCTATTTTACTTTTTCGGGAAGGAACAAGTTATAACGATATAGATTTTAATGCCAATTTGACTGGCCTTCACAGAACATGGTTAAAAGATTGAAATATTCGAGCTACAAGCCAATAAAAAATGTTTCCACCTGTTGCACTGAAGAAGGCCGCAGTGTTGGCGGTCGAAACGTTTGTTTCGTTTTTTTCCCTGCATGTAAGTTTTTTAGTATTTTCTCATCTCTATGTAGTTTAAAATATTATTTGTTTAATTTCATTGGCTTGTAGCTTGATTACTTCAATCTTTTTACCATTAACGATATAGCTAGCACTGGAAAAAAAACACATTGAATCTAGAGTCCAGACTCTTGAAAACATTGACAAGAAAAAATACTCTTGATTCAATCGGATTTTTGCTTGAATCAAAAAAAAAATCCGCTTAAATTAAGAGGCTTGGTTCTTGATTTAAGCTAGATTCTGATTGAATCAAGAGTACTTTTTTTGTCGATGTTTTTAAGAGTCTGGACTCCAGATCCAATGTGTTTTTTATTCCAGTGAGACATTTCTACGAATAAAACGATTATTTTCCTAGCGTAGTGGTAAAGTACCTGCTCTGGCAGCCTTCTCGGCTGCGAGGCCCGGATCAGGTCCCGCCGTGTGATTGCCATCGGTGAAGATGACCATGAGCTTCGGCGCCCCGCTCTCTTTGCGAGCGTTCGGCAACGTTTGAAATTCGTTGATCGCTCCCATGATACCGGCATAAATATTGGCGGTATTGTTCGGATAATCGGTGCTCCGAATGCTCTCCTGGAGAGCGAGCATGGTCAAGTCGTTCGTGAGCGGGATCTTATCGGTGACCCTGTTGGAGTACACGACGAGACCGACGTTGGCCTCCCGGAGATCGAAGACGCCGACCAGGCGCGCCAAGGAGTCGAGCGACGACGCGTACGCCTCCATACCCACGCGGCAACTCCCGTCGACGACGAGCATCAAGTCGATCTTCCCGCCGAAGGGACGCATGTCCTCGATGAGGAGCTCCAGCGTCCGATTCTGGAAATCCCCGTAGACGGGTCTCCGGGCGCTGTAAAGATCGTGCCACCATTCGCCCTGCCCGACGACGTTGCTCGGGCGCGGAAATTGTCGGCGGAACAGTTCGGTGATGATCCACGCCGTGAGCCCCGAGTAGAGGGGTTTCAGCAAGTCCGCCTCGGTCACCTGAAGAAAAGCAATGGGACGTATTTCTATCAAACAGAACTGTGAGCAGGTGAGAAATATGGGGTGTGTGCTCTAGAAATGAAGAAAAAAACACTAAGAAGTGGCCCGAAACTATAGGTAACGAGGTGGAGAAATGGTGCTCCATACCACACCATTTCGCGGGAAAATCAAAGCCAAGGAGTTCCAAAAATTAAAATTAGAGTCAAAATTAATTTTTTGAGCTCTAATGCGCACCAGTACGAAACTGAGAGCCGAGTGTGATCTACTGATGAGGTCTAAAAAGGCCCAAACCGGTATAGATCTCTCGACGTGACTCCAACTTAATATTCCTATGCAAACTGCCTGAGCTGAACACTCTCCCCCCTCAGTTTCGTACTGGTGCGCATTAGAGCTCAAAAAATTAATTTTGACTCTAATTTTAATTTTTGGAACTCCTTGGCTTTGTTTTCCCCGCGACATGGTGTGGACCCAGCACTATTTCTCCACCTTGTGCTCTAGAAATCTGCATAAGAAATAGTGTAAAAGAGGGCGTGATTCCTTTTGAAGAATTTGAAAAGCGGGATATTACATTCTATCAAACAGAACTATGTGCCAACTGAATGCGGGATTCATGAGCCACGAGGATGGGACGAGAGCGTTGTGGACAGGGCTCATGAGTTAAAGCGCCCCGACGACCGTCTCCCCCTGGCGGTCCGGCTCCATCATTGCCGCTGAAGTCACTGGCGATTTATTATTCTCATTCACTCCTACCGCCTACGGCCAGAGAACTAGCGAGCACACCCCATATTTCTCACCTGCACATAGGTCTGTTTGATAGGAATACGTCCAATTATATACGAGGGTCATCCAAAAAGTAAGGTTCCCTACTTTGTATCTTCCGAACGAGGGGAGATAAATCAAATCAATAAGTAGACGCATATTAGGCATACTCTAAGCTTCAAAACAAGCTCAAGTTTTTGAAAATCGGTCAAGGGGTTTACGTAATAACTTAATTTTACTGAGACAACCTCCTGTCGCCGCGTGCCCACCTCCGGGGTCTAGATGCACGGAGAGTCGATTATTTCAGACTCGGGCATTCGCCTCTAAACATCACATTGAGAAGAAATTTAAAAGGTTTCATTGAATAGGTCTTAACTTACTTTTTGACGCAGTCTCCACATCTTTTTTGACATTTCTGGTATCATTACAGCAGCTTCCTGATGCCTTCCGCGTAGAAGCTCCCGCCTTGGCTCCGAAACCAGTCATTGACACCGATCTGCACCGCTGTATCGGTTGGCAATCGCTTTTCATCGTGGAAGTTTTTCCACTCGGGAACAGATGAGAGTCACATAAGGCTAAATTAAGAGAGTATGGAGGATTGGAGGAAAATTTCCCGATGCAAATCAGCTGATTTGGAAGTGCACATCGCTGTCAATGACTGGTTTCGGAACCAAGGCAAGAGCTTTTACGTGGACGGCATCAAGAAGCTGCTGTAATGATACCAAAAAGATGTGGAGACTGCGTCAAAAAGTAGGTTAAGCCTACTCAATGAAAACTTTTAAATTCCTTCTAGATGTGATGTTTAGAGGCGAATGCCCAAGTCTGAAATAATCGACTCTCCGCGAATCCTGGCCCCGGAGGTGGGCACGCGGCGACAGGAGGTTGTCTCAGTAAAATTAAGATTTCTCGCGAACCCCTCAATCGATTTTCAAAAACTTGGGTCTGTTTTAAAGCTTAAAGTATGCCTAATATGTGCTTTTTTACCGATTTGATTTATCTCTCCTCGTTCGGAAGATAAAAGGTAAGGAACCTTTCTTTTTGGGTGACCCTCGTAGATGGACCGCGTTAATGAGAAAGAAACCAAGCCACATCAGCTATTGCCATCTTGTTTTGATGCTTGATTCTTGCAGATTAGCTAAGAATAATAATATTCGTCCAAACCGCAATTTTCTACGTTTGTTGAAGCACAGTTGTATCAGCTGATACCTGCTAACCTAACTTTCAGTTCTCAGTTTCTAACTCTCAGTTTCAGTTCTTCTAGCAAGTCCTTTCTATTGTACTTAATTTTCTCAAAAAAATATTCATGTATTTCGTTGGTAATGCGCTAAATAATGCTTTGTAATTTAACAACGTTCATTATTAACCGAGATATTGCCCTTTGAAAATTCAAGGTTTTGACGTCATCCACCGGTGGTAGTAAAACCTGTGGTTTTCTCCATCTTGATTCCATCAGTTAGTGACGCGCTGGTTACTAATTCATCAAATTGGAAAAAAAGAAAAAAATCGAGTGTCAACACAGCCAAGGATAAAAGAAACGTATTCGGCCCACGTTTTTAAACTTCCAAACCGAACCTGAATGACCCCTCAGCAGAGTAAAGTGGAACAAGGGAGTTCACGCCTCGCACCATCGCGCCTTCAATTTTGCAGATACAATATGGACACCCATCACGCACGAATAGTTGTATCTCAGCGCCGTTATTCACGCGCGTTCTTTCCCTCGCTCTCTTTCCACGCCCTGTACTCCTGTTGTTTCCATATGTCCTATGTGTAGTGGTGCTTTAACATACTTTATACTTCAATAAACCTCATACTTTATTTTTCAAACAAACGAAAACTCATCGCAACTTCATGAAAACATCCCCGATTTGTTTCTCTCCTGTAAGGAAGAGTAATCCACAAGAATCTCAAACAGTAGCGTTGGTAGAATCCCAATTTATCAAATAATATTGGAAACAAGATGCGTGTTCTTGCTCACCAGCGATGTCTCAATTGATTAATTATTGGAATTAATTTATTACCTCGATATCTTTAATTTAAATAGTCTTATTCAATACTGCCGTGCTAAGGACAAACGCCGTACGAGCATTCGACAGTCGTCAAATTCCTCCGTATACAACATGCATTTTCGAGGAAAATTATGCATTTCCCCCTTGACATTTTCAGATATGCTAGAAAAAATTGTAAACAAAATCTGAAAAATTTGGAGGAAAATATTCTAAATTTCTTTAGTAAATTATTTTCATATTGAAGGAAATATGGCAATGCCTAAAGGCTCTTACGGTGTTCTTCCCTAGCACGGCAGAATACTACCGTGCTAAGGAAGAACTCCGTATGAGCCTTCAGGCGTTGCCAAATTTCCTTCGACAAACCACGCGTTTTCCGGAAAATTTGTGAATATTTTTTCTCCAATTTTTAAGAGGATTTCGTTGGAGATTTTTTCGAAAAACTCTGACATTTTCAAGAAAAAATATGCAGAACTTTCTTCAAAAATACACGCTTTATCCGGGGAAATTTGGCAACTCTCGAATGTTCATACGGCGTTCTTCCTTAGCACGGCAGAATACTGGTCAATTTTCTAGTAACTTTACCTGCATCCAATCGATGCCCATGGTTTTCTTGATGGCCTCGTGGATGTTCCTGAGCTTCGGGCTGATGCTTCGGTAAGGACGATCGTACTGGCTCATATTGAACCGATCCGTATTCCACAAGCCTCCGGCGTAGCCAGGCCGGTAGGTCCACGGATCCTCGCCGAACATGTTCTCGGTATAAGCCACGCGACGAATGAAGTCATCATCATCAGGAAACACACGGCTTCGGCGGATCCTATAGAGTACGGTGTCCACCACGTCGCGACCACGTGCTCCTGCTTCCAGACTCCGGTCGACCAGAACGCCCGAGGCTGATGTGCACAGGAGAAGGGACAACAGTGTCTCGTACATGTTTCGACTTTTCTCAGGGATAGTGAAAATTGATAGAGGAACCCGACTCACACTGTTATATATCTCAGCTTTTCACGAGAGGTTAAAAAGTCTTCACAGCAGTGGAAAACGAAGAGAATGCAAAAGCAGCCCGAAACGGAAACGACAATCGAAAACACAGGAAAAAGTGGAAACAAGACTAAAATACAAAATATACCAAATACACAAAATATGGTTGTCATTTACCAATTTCACTATGTAGCGCCGTTTGCTGGTTTTTATTTTAATTTATTTTCTATTTTTAATTCTATTTTAGCAGTTGATAATGGTGCCGTAAGGAACCGAAAAGTCTTCACAGCATCGACTGTTGAATTCGGACTAAGAAAACGGAAACTGTTAGTTGAATTGCACGAGAAAGGAAACGAACGCTGTTCTTTTCAACTTTAGATCTACGTGAAATTTACGTTCGAAAAACTGACGATGTACGGAAAAACTGACATCTAAATTGCTTTAAATTCTAAAAATTAATCGTGTTGATGCTAAACACAGAAGAAACTGTAAAATATGCAGTATGAAAAACTAAAATTTCACTAGCGTAAAATGGTTGGATGATTTTTGATGACATTCATTAATATGAAATGATGAAAAAAAAGGTTGAAAGTAAAGGGTTGCATTTTTACGCAAAAAAGAAAACAATGAGGGTTTCTAATTTAGATACCTGAACAGTTTTTTTTTTTTTTTTTTTTTTTTTTTTAAAAAAAAAAATACTTCTGCTTTGAAATCTAAAGGTTTCTAAACTTTATTTTTTAAACAGCCAGTGCCACTATAGGGAGATCGCTAAAATGAGGAATATCTAACGGCAAATGACCGGTATCAACGCCACCGAACGGTAGTGAAATATACGACTCGAATACAGTCACTCGAGAAACTGTGAATACATGAGAAGAATGTATCGTTAGACCGTAAGAGTGGGGGAGTCGCTTGATCGCAAAAGGTGAATCCACTACGAGTTCACGTAACTCCGAACGATTTGAACTACACGTTACTTTGGCTCACACCGAAGGGGGCATTTATGGAGTAGAAGTAGTAGTGAAGTGAAGTCCCAAATTTTGAACAATTGGGGAAGGGGGGTGTTCACTTCAAGTTCGCCAGACTGTGCTTTGATAATCTTGTGAGATTCGGATACTAATTTAAACTTGAATGAAGTGGCCCTCCACCAGGGTTACCGCTTACATCAAACTATTAATAGAGTGGTCTAATGTACATGATAATCTCCAAGTGGTTCGGCTGTCTTTTAAAAGAATTAAGCACGTGGGTGCTCAATATCTACGATGTTAGGCGGAAAAAAATTAGCCCCTCCCCCCCCCCCCCCCCAACAAGTGGGGATGATAATGAAAAAATTTGATCATTGGCCAGATTAGGACTATGGTTTAAAAAAAAGATAGTCCTTAGTTATTGTATACTATGATCCTTATATCGTATAGCAATTAGTGAGAAATGTGAGCACATAAAATGAAAAGTAAACTAACAAGTATTTAAAGTTAAGACTAGAATTCTTCTTAATTTTCCGAGACAATTAAAGAAATTGGAAATTTCTTTGGTGCAACACATCAAAATCAACAGATGGAGGCTTTGGGAATCCAGAAAATCGATTCGCAACCAACTCATCTCGAAACTGCCCCGGCTGTTGTGCACAATTAAGTTGATCGAGCCATAAGTGGCTTACTGCAAACTTTGAAAAATACTTTTGACAATAATGATGCAAAAGAGTCAACTTATTGAGCAATCTATTCATATATTTAAAAAAGTAAAATAGGAACAACGATCGATCAAAGTACTTGAAATGGAGAGAGAGCGCGTGTACGTTAAAAATTTTTGGACCACTGATGAAACAATGAGCCCGCTTTACTCATCAGATCCTCATTCTGAGTGAAATATGTCGAAGATAACAACGCTGAACCTCCTTACTTCTGCCACTGATAAACCGTTCTCTAGGCCCAAGTTACGGAAAGGTAAGACCAAGTCGGCGGAACAGAAGTGACGCTTACTTACGCTAAGTTCACGCCAAATAGGTCCGCGTACTTTTAAACTTCGACAGAGGATCGGCCGACGTCACTTCTACATGTAAAGTAAATGCAAGATACAAGATGTATTGATGATCTTATATTACAGTCTAATAGTTCGTTAACTTATTTGGTGTGGACTCCAGTAAGGAATGGCAGGGTTACAGAACATTTAACGGAGTTATTGACGGTGTATAACTATAACCTAGCGCTGAAAAAAGAGGCATCAAAAGACATTTTTTTTATAAAATTAAGATATTTTAGACTTTCCATGTAAAGCTTAGATCAAGGTCTGTTAACCGACAAAATCGACCGCATGAGCTGATAATTCAGCCAATGCACTCAGAAAGTAAAAACTTAACTCGTTTCGTCTATTTGCGATACCCCTTAAAATAATGGGGATACATTTGTTGCGCTTTTTAGTTAGTAAGCTAGTTCCGCTATCCATTCTACAGTTAATTTATATGATATCTCACGCGTGCTCTCATAATTATCAGAATTAAAACTAATTTAAGTTATTAGATAGCTTTAATGGTCATAAACTATAATTTATGAATACGAAATCAAAAGTTTTTTCTTTTTAAGGGGCTTCCCTACGAGAGCAGTTGTATGATTATCTTAAAAGGAACTACATGCATACATGCGCATCAAATAAAAAAGAACTATGCGCATAGTATTTATGAGCTTCATTGAAGGTACATTTGAGGGGCTTGGAGGACAAGGCGCATAAGTGCAGTTTTTGCTATTTCGATAAATACATATTTGAGGTTTCGAAATTCCTTTGTGGCGGACAAAAAGTTCAAACTGACCTTTTCATGCTTAAAAATTGGAAGTTGGATGCGAATTTTGCATTATGACTAGTTTTACTCGATATCTTTAATGTCTCAATTTTTTCAAAAACTGCAATTATGCACCTTGTCCTTTAAGCCCCTCCCCTCTTTTTAATTAAATTTTCTTGGAGATAACCCATTCAAGCAGAAACATGTTCAAATGTATCAATTAATTCGCCCGTCCACTCCAATGGAGATGTTGCATGTGTGAGGAATTTGCGATTTGACTGTTGATTCTTGTGTAAAAGTTCGTGAGAAACACGATGGTGCCACTGGTTTTCTCTGAAATCAACTCCCAAGCTCAAAAAAAGCTCTCAAAGTGAGGCCAAAATGGAGGGGATATCCCACCCTACCCTGAGAGTCCACCTCTACATCGAGACAAACTCTCCATGCAAATATAGGGAGCAAATACATTGACAGGGTTGCCGTGATTTCAGTTTTGAAGTCCCCGAATAAGGTGGCAGCCCTGTCAATGTATTTGTTCCCTATCTTTGCATGGAAAGTTTGTCTTGGTGTAGAGATAGACTCTCAGGATAGCGTGGGATATCCCTCAACTTGAGAGTTTTTTTTAAAGCTTGGGAGTTGATTTCAGAGAAAACAGTGGCACCATCGTGTTTCTCGCGAACTTTTACGTAAGAATCAACAGGCAAATCGCAAATTCCTCACACAAACATCTCCATTATATTTTACGATGAATCACCTCTTCATTGCATTACAAGGATCATTTATTTCAAAAGAACAGCAGCGAAAATATAGACAGCGACATGCACAAAACATGCAAAGTCAAGTTTGACAGCCGCGGATTCGGTGGCATCTCCCTCAAGAATCCACACCCTCAGCCTGCTGTTTGCCTCAAAGCTCTCTATCGCAATTTTCAAATCACTCATCGAGGCTGTTTTCACAGTGTCGCTCCTATTTCCGGGAGCAGGTTGCGGTGGTGGAATAAACGTCTCTCCTCCGTATATGGTCCCATCATAGAGTGCGCTGGACGGTCGCTCGTCGGCGTAAGTCCAGTAGCCACGAGATTCACCCCTTTCGTTGACCAGTCTGATCGTTGTACCGTTCTCTGGTACCTCCAATTGATAGTGCCTCTTCTCGTTAGCTTCCTTGAGCGTGTCGCTCGTTTCAAATCCCATCTTGAGCGTCTGCGGAAGGGTCTTCACCCACCGAGCGATGAGAACTATCTGCTGTTGCAACGAGTAGTATGATTCTGTCCTGAACTTGTAATCGGATATATTATTCGCAATTTCGAGTAGCTCCGAGTCGTCAATATCATTGCCGATTCCGAAAGCACATGGTATGATACCTGTGGGAAAACATGTAAAGAGGTCTTCAAATTTGATCTGATAGTTGGGGGCCGTTTAGAAAATAGACAGCGCCAGGGAATGGGGGGGGGGGCGGTTGAGCCTGCGATACGCTCACATTACAGTGTATAGGAATGGGTCGTTCAGAGTAAGTTGGGTTGCAGAGTTCTCACTGGAAGGGGAAACTTTAGTCTGTTCAAGATAGAAGGACAGCCGGCAGTCAGAATTAAAAGCACTATTTTGCGAGGTATATCTAAAGGCATGTGAGGCATGTGGGTTTTTGTAAGGATTGTCTCAAGTTGACCCTAGAGTCCCTTTATACCCAGAGTTAAGACAACTCACTTTTGGTTGGGCTGAAAGTGGCCTAAAAAAAAATCCAATTTTGATTGGTTCTCGCTCATGGAGGCCGAAACGAGTGCACCAAGATGGCGGTACCTCGAATGTGAACAAGAATAATGAAAATATTACCTAATTGTGGTTTATCAAGAGTAAATTGTTATTTCCATCGGTCCAAAATGAAAATAGATTAAGAAATTATTCACAAACCAATCTCATTTTCTTTTTAATTGATCAATTTGTTGATGTTGTTGTTTTTGTGTGACAGACATCGCAGGATTCCTGATCCTGATCCCTCAATATCGTTCGTTTGGGTGCACTCGTTTCGGCCTCCATGGCCAGACAAGGCCGGCTGCCAGTCAGCTGATAATCGAGTTGTCTTAACTCTGGGTATAAAGGGACTCTAGTTGACCCTTGACCCCTGTCAACTGCCACTCTCCGCGTTTTAAGGCCATATCGCGCAGGAGGCTATAGGCCAGCACGGTCAGTACGCTCTGGTGTTCCCCGGAGCTTGAGCCAGCCAGGAGCGTAGAATACCGGAAGCAATGCGCCACACGCAGTGGCAGGCGACTCATGATCAACCCGCTGCTGTGCGATGCTGGACTAGTGACTTAATCATTGAGGAACACAACCTCGCTCCAATATAGTGCAATTAATTATGATTTTCAACGGTTCTTCAAATCTTGAACAGACCATAATTTTTGGTCATTTTGACCTTTTCATATAACCAGCTACCATTTGAAACGGTTTCGGATAATGGCCTCACCTTTCATTACGAGAGGAGAAACTCGGTAAGTGACACTGAAGTTTGGTATGTATTGAACACTGAATTTTACCGCTTCAGGGAACCAAAGCGGTTGGTTATAGCAACCAAATCTTAGTACCTCTCTATGGCTGAAAATTTCGGTTATCGGAACGGGAAATGTTTGGTATCCAATATCTATTACGGAACTTTTTTTTATCATTGTAAGTGTCATCATATGTTCTAACTTTCAGTAATTGTTCGTCTCTTTTGACGTAAATGTAACGGACGGAGAAGGAAAAAATATGATCCCGAAAATTAGATCAAAATTAAAAGGAAATTTCCATATAAAATGTCCACGAAACCGAGGAATTTAGGTTCTTTTAAAATGAGTAACTCCAACGACAATCTGAGTAACACTTGCGCTTGGATTGCTGAATCGTCATCGAATGACTTCGGTCGATTTGGACTGCATTTTGCAATTAGGAACTATAAATTCTGGCCCGATTTAAAAACAACGTATGTACCATTGGTTTCCCTATGCACATAAGTGTTTTTCCACATGAGCTGGAATTTATAGTTCCAAATTGCAATATGCAGTCCATTTATACTTCCCTAAGATAGGGACGTAGAGACCTCGACCAAGACCATTCTATAACGATTCCAAAATCGACCCGCTGATGGCACTTACTAAGTTTTCAAAATCCACTCCCTAACTGCCTAGACTATGATCACTGCACTAAGAATAAAAACAACAAAAATGTTCTATTCAATCATGGTATACCTGCTTTGGCAGCCTTCTGAGCCGCAATTCCTGGTTTGGGTCCTGTCAAGTGATTTCCATCGGTTAAGACGACCAGAAGTCTTGGAACACCTCTCTCTCCTCGATTCTCTGGCAATTTTTTAAATTCATCGACAGCTGCCATCATACCGATGTAAGTATTCGTCCCTGCATCCGGATACAGCGTACCTCGAATAGCCTCCTGAAGTCTGGCCGTGGTGAAATTGTTCACCAGCGGAATCAGACTGGTCACTGTGTTCGAGTAGGTGACCATACCGACGTTTGCCTCCTGAAGGTCGAATAAGGTCACCAGGCGTGCCAAGGAATCCAGTGCTGTCTGGAAAGCGTGCTGGCCTATACTCGCGCTTCCGTCGACGACCATCATGACGTCTATCTTCCCGCCGGATGCGCGCATGTCTTTTTCGAGGAGTTCTTGGGCCCGCCTCTCGAAATCCCCGTACTTGCCTCCGTTAGTATTGTAGTAGTCCTTCCAAAACATATCTTGGGCTTTGATGACGTCAGGAATTGGACCTCTGGACAACCTCGTTAACTCGATGTAAATGGTTGCGGCGAGTGCAGAGTAGAGTGGTTTTAGCATGTCTTCCTCCTTCGCCTGGGAAAACATGCAATAAAATAGACTATTTTGCGACGGGAAAATAGTATTGTGCAATGTCAACTGGACGCATTTCTGTCAAACGGAACTATGTGCATTAAGACATGAGCCTTAAGACTCATAAGAATACATGCATACAGGGCTCACGTCCTAATGCACATAGTTCCGTTAGATAGAAATACGTCCAATTTTGTAAGTTGGCAACACTATTTGTCATCATTTAAATCCGTTAAAAATATCGATCTTAGGTGAGGTAGGCTGCCTCGCCAAGAAGCGATTGTTTCACATACATTTGAATGGAGAATAACACTGTTGCTGACTTCAAGAATCGCCACTGCAAGTATATGCCATTAGATTTCTTATGCACATAGGTGTTATTATGGATGAGCTAGAACTATTTATTCCTTACTGCAAAATTGTGTCCACTTTAATCTAGACAAACCTTAAAATAGCAAAAGAAGGCGATCTGAATTTTTTTTTTCTAAGATGGTCACTGGTCATATCCTGTGACGAGGCGTGAATGATCGACTATCGATATTCTAGATTAAATTGCGTAAAAAATTGTCTGAAAATTTTGGACAGTGACATTGACACTTTTCCTATCAAATTCTGTTTTTATCGAAGGAAACTTGGCAACGTCTGAAGGCTTATACGGCGTTCTTCCTTAATACGGCAGTTCAGCCCCCTCTCCTCTCCCATCTTGTGACACAGATTTGGACAGTTCCTTCCCAAAAATGATAATAATATTGATATAATATATAATATTTGAGCGTCCCCCATGGGAGGCATTTAACACATACCGCATTATCTGGTGTGATATTGATTACCTGCATCCAGTTGATGCCTAGCGTATCTCTAATGGCCGTGTGAATGCTTCTAAGCTCAGGGGTGGTGCCGTTACTTTGAGCGTCAAATTGGGTCGTCTTGAAGCGGTCGAACTGCCAGATGCCCCCATTGTAGCCCTCGCGATAGGTGGCGGGTTCCTCGCCGAACTTGCTCTCGGTGTAGGCCACGCGGCGGAGGAAGTCCCTGTCGTCGGGAAACACACGACTTCGCTGGATCCGATAAATCACAGTTTCCACGACGTCGCGACCGGAGGCCATCGGTTCGAGAGTCCGATCGACTACAAAACCGGTGGCCGTTGCACACAACATGACGACAAACCACACTGCCTCAAACATGTTGCGCGAAGTAAACCATAAAATTTTCTCGGAAATTATAAATAGGGAGGCAGCAAACTGGATCGGTGAGAGAACCGTTTGACTCAAACTGGGTAGAATGTTGACTATGAAGTTTACGAATTTCGAGGAGCTATGCCCGTGGATTTGAAGGAGCTGTCGGTTAATGCCGCAATGATTCATCCATCGATTTGTTAACTTAATGTAAATAAGAATCTGTGAGTTGTTGAGTGGTCTATTATAATACTCGAGTGTACGAACGAATACTCCTCAATCGAGATGATATCGGCAACGGCGGATAATCGCTTTCTTAAATTAAATATAATACGAATTGGAATGTGGGGTGGATCTAGTAATTTTTTGTGGTTGAAAACCGAATGTAATCTCATCAAGGGAGGTGTGAAGGGCATGGACGAATTCTTCGATAAAAAAAGTGGGAGGGGTGTTCTAACTGCTCCGAAAATGTTTGGAAAATAGGGCCCATCAGGGAGCAGTTTTAAGAGATGTTCTTAATGAGAACACTTCCAAAATGACAAATATGTCCCTCAATTAATTCGAAGAATTTTTGAAACTATCGGGGGTGGGTTGGGGCAGAATGGGAAAGCGGCACCCTCCTCTTTTTGCGCATGATCGAATTGAATTTAGTAAATAGGAACTACGGTTATAGGACATTTTGTCAACGATTTTTCGTCCACGCACACCTGTTTTTTCCATTAATTTACGTCCACGCGTGTTTTCGGCACGGGAGTTTTGGTCCACGTGCCAGTTGAGACTCAAAGTTAATTATTGGCCCACATGTAAATACAAACGACTATTGCTCACGACGTTTTTGGATGAAAATGTATAATGTCTTGGAAGAATGAGGGTTTGCTTGTTTTTCTGTTTTGTCTGTTTGGTCCAACGGAGAATAATATATAGTTGAGAGTCTTGGTAAAAATGGGGGAGCGTCAATTCCGTGAGACAAAATTTATTAAAACTTTCTACACCTCTTTGGTGTAACGGGAATTTTAAGAAATTTCCACCGCGTTAGTGCGGAACCGAATGAACCTCTTGATTTGCCTCAGCTAAAGGTTCTTAGATTTTTCCTGTGCACGATAAGTATCTTGATTTATTTTGCGAGGAAAGATCTATACTTTTAAAGTATGCCTATCATTCTTCATACGTTCAATTTTCGTATAATACTGTACAACACCTCTGTTGTGAAATAGTTGCTTTAAGTGCCGCCGCACGACGGACGGGCGGTCATGACAGCGCGAGCCGCGCATTGGCGCCTACAAACGTAAGTGGATACTTCAAGCATTGTGCAATGCGTGAAGTATTCACTTAGGTTTGTAGGCGCCAGTGAGCCTCTTGCGCTGGCAGCACGCCGCTCCACTCTCTTAGGCTTTAATATTCATACTCGCATAGTCAGCGTTTTTTAACTCATGATTTTGAAATGTTTACACACTGTGCATTGATTATTATCATTTAAATTGATGGGGAAAAAATATGTATCAATTTATCAAAGGAGATTAATAATAATAATATAATGTGTGTTTTTTAAATATTGGTGGTTCCGTGTCAAATTTAATGATCTCCAAAGCACTTTAATTTTTTCTTTTACATTTTGTGCTTTTATTGTGCTGGAGCGAGGTGTACGCGCAACCAAACGCTCAAAATTTGACGTATTTGACTCTAGAAGATCGACGTACAAATGGGTTAAAACTAACGTTTGCGTGCCTCTTGGTTTTTTTCCCCTCATTTATTCATTTTTGGAGTTTCTGTCGGCACAACCGCGGCTCATTGAGATTAATGTCGCTTGGCAAAGGTTTTACAAATATTTGTTACGTTTTAAAAATATAAATGTTCTCAAAATGGAGTAATAATTTCGTAAAGCAAAAATTAAAAAAATAAAAGAAGTACCTATATATATTTGACACGGAACCACCAATATTTAAAAAACACACATTATATTATTATTCTCCTTTGATAAATTGATACATATTTTTTCCCCATCAATTTAAATGAGAATAATCAATGCAGACTGTGCAAACAAGTCAAAATCATGAGTTAAAAAACGCTGACTTTGCGAGGATAAATTTAATATTAAAGCCTAAGAGCAGTGGAGCGGCGTGCTGCCAGCGCGAGAGGCTCACTGGCGCCTACAAACCTAAGTGGATACTTCACGCATTGCACAGTGCTTGAAGTATCCACTTAGGTTTGTAGGCGCCAATGCGCGGCTTGCGCTGGCCGCCCGCCCGCCGTGCGGCAGCGCCTGAAGCAACTATTTCACAACGAGGTGTTGCACAGTATTATACGAAATTGAACGTATGAAGAATGACAGTCAAAAGTATAGATCTTTCCTCGCAACATAAATCAAGAGACTCATCGTGCACATATTTAAAATAAAATTTAAACAATGCCAATTAATACATAAAAACTTTTAAAATAATTTAATTGACTTTTTTATTACATAATTCATAGAACTATTTCTAGAACATATTTTACCCCTGTTATATGTATGTATGAGCCGCTTTTACGGCGCGCTAGGGCGCTCTGCGACGCCTATTCTCCACAGGAATCTGTCATGGTAGAGATCCTCCGGAAGCTGGCATCTCTCCATCTCTTCATGGATGCCCTCTACCCACCGTTTGGCTGGACGCCCTCTCCGTCGCCTACCTGGGGGGACCCACTCCAACACCTTCTTCGGCAACCTGGTATCAGCCATTCTCTGCACATGCCCATACCATACCAATTGCTTGGTCATGATATCGTGCACAATCGTCCCCTCAACGCCCATTATCTCTCGGACACGTTCATTCCTGACACGTTCTCTCCTCGAGATTCCAGCCGATCTTCGCCAGAAATCCATCTCGGTCGCCTTGAGCATTTCTTGGGTCCGCTTCTTCAACTGCCACACTTCACTGCCATAGGTGATAATAGGCTTGACAACCGAGTTATAAATCCTCTTCTTGTTGTCTTTGGAAATCCTTTGGTCCCAAAGGATCCCATTAAGCATGGCGATGGCTTTCCTTCCTAGAAGATTACGGTCCCGAATGGCCTGATCCAGCTTCCCATCCGAAGTCAGGTTCACCCCCAGGTACTTGTATTGTTCGCAACTTTCTATATGTTGACCATCCTCCAGGACTATGCTTTGCTGAGCGCCTCCGACTGACATCTTTTTTGTCTTACGGACACTAACCTCGAGGCCCCATTTGCGGTACTCCTCCACCAACTTCCGGGTCATATACTCCGCGTCATCGTGATCTTGACTTATGACTACCTGGTCGTCAGCAAAGCATAGCGTGAATAGTGTTTCTTGGTCATTTAGAGGGACGCCCATGCCGGCACACTTTCTTTTCCATTCCTTCAGAACGTGCTCTAGATATATCTTAAACAGCGTCGGTGACAGACAACATCCCTGCTTAAGCCCCTTGGTGACAAAAAAACCGTCTGAAAGCCTTCCTTGGCACTTAATTCTAGCAAAAGCCCCCCGATAAAACTGCTTGACTGCCCCAATAAGTCCTTTACTAAAACCAGTTTCTTCTAGGACTTCCCAGAGTTTCACAAGAGGAATACTATCATAAGCCTTTTCAATATCCAAAAACACTAAATGAAGCTCCTGGCCAACAATTCTCTTCTTTTCGGTTAACTGGGTAACACAGAACAAATGATCAGCGGTAGACCGACCAGCCCTAAAACCTGCTTGCTCCTCCGCCTCGAACGGGGTCCACTCCTCTTCGATCTTCGCTTTCAACACTTTTCCATAAATTTTACTTATCGTTCCTGTCACCGCTAACCCTCTGTAGTTCCCACAGTCATCCTTCCTTCCTTTTTTATGCGACGCTGTTATCCAGGCCTCTTTCCATTCTTTCGGGATGTCATCACCGTCAATGCACTTCTGCAGCAAATCCCTGAGATGGTTAACCAACTTGCCAGTCCCACATTTAATTAACTCGGCTGGAATGTTTCCTGGCCCAGGAGCTCTTCCATTCATCAATTCCCTGATTGCTTTGACCACCTCCTCAACTCGAATTTCCATTGAGTGATCCTCGACTATATTTTCAGCATTCCCCGTTTGAAACTCTGGTCGTCCTTCCGTCAATAATTTATTAAAATGTTCGTCAAGCTGTGAGATTGTTATCGGAGATATAATGTCCCGTTTCATGTCCCTTCTTAGGCCTTTGATCAGCTTCCAGCTCTCAGCACTCTTCCTTCCCCCCAGGTATGTGTCAATCCTTGAGCAGTTGGTCTCCCAAGACTCGTTTTTCTTCCTGGTGATTAAAAGACGAACCCTCGCCTGGGCTTTCCTATACGCGCCGCGGGTGTCTGCAGTCCTAGAAGCCAGATAATCATGGTACTTCCTACGCTTTTCTTCAATTACCTCCTCTACCTCTTTGTCCCACCAGTAGGGTTTCTGTACATCCTTGCTCTCATTACACATACCCAGGGCTTCCTTCGCAGCTGAATGTATGCAACTTTTGATGAACTGGTACAACTCTTCTGCAGTATCGAAAGTTTCTACTCCCAGTTTCTCATCCAGCCGCTTCCTGTAGAGCGCTTTCACGCTTTCATGCTGTAAGCTATCGATGTTGTAGTGCACTTGTTCGATCTTCGTTCCTTGTGGCTGGCACTTCTGATGTTGCAAGGTATTCCTCTGCAGCCCATACTTAACCGGAAATGCAATCTCCGCCTTGAGAAAATGGTGATCACTACCACAGGAGAACCCCCGGCAAACTCTTACTTGTTGAACCTTCATGGTACTCGTTTGCCTGGTGACCGCGTAGTCGATGATTGACTTCAGCCCCCGAGTTTGCTGAACCCACGTGTACTTATGGATATCTCGATGTTGGTAGAATCCGTTCAGTATTTTCAACTCGTTTTGTTCACACATATCAATAATGCGTGCACCGTTGTCATTCATCGCCTCTTCACCGAAAGGTCCAACAACTTTAGAACCATTCCTTCGTCCGGTTCTACCATTCAAATCTCCCATGATAATGACCTCCCTTGTCCTTCCAACCCTCAGAACCTCGTCGTTGAGTTGCTCAAAGAACTGATCCTTTAGATTGACGGGAGCATCATCATTCACACCATATACTCCTAACAGGGCCACCTTGTGACCATGCAGTGTAAGATGCATTCTGATGATCCGCTGGTCTACTGCTTCCCAAGTAGTTATAGACGGACGCAAACTTTTCCGGATAAGTATGGCGACTCCTTGCTGTGCGCGTTGATCTTTACTGACACCACTATAGAACAGATCATAACATCCTAAGTTTTCTGATCCTGTGCCTTTCTTTTTCGTTTCTGTTAACACGGCGACATCTACATTATACTTTTTTACCTCCGATACAACCTCTGTCAATTTATTAGAAATGCCCTGTACATTCCATGTCCCAAAAACCATTGTCCTTTTCCGTAGTTTGTGTCGCAAAATCCGTTTTTTTCCATTATCACCGAGGCTATCTTTATTAGGCTTTTTAACATTAAGTTTTTTCCGGGTATCGGGGAGTTAGCCCGATGCCCCAACCCCCAACCTGGAGGACCAGGGTTTGATTTTGGAGTACCGTCTCCTAGACAGGCTGCTTTCACCACAGCTATGAGCCCTGTCTGCCCCTCTGATGAGTGGTTCATACGCCATGAAGCCGGTGACCATCTTCACCCCCCTTTAAGGCAGGGGCTACCAGCTGGGGTCCGCAGGCTTGCTAAACCTGTGACAGTACTGAGTACAGTCCCCCATACGGTACCCCTGTTATACCTTTTTAAATAATGTCTGAACTTTATAATTATTCTTTTGCTTTATTGCCGCATATTTCGTTTCAATATAAGGTGAGCATGAATCATATATCATATCAGATTGTTGAGTATCTACTTGTTCTCAAGCATACTTGTTTCAATTTCTTGTGGTCTGATTATATTCTCACCATTTGCACAAAAATAATATCTCTGACATTATGTTAGTTGTTCGTGTATTAAAGGCTTCATAGTTTGAACATAAAAGATGCCGATTTGGTTTAAGAAAACAAAAACAGCTTCAAAAATTCTATAAATGTCAAAATATTAATAAATTTAAAGAAACTTAAAAAATTGAGAACCTAAAAGTAGCGGTAAAACATTGCTCCATTAATAACTTATAGTTTGGTCATTCCTTCAGGGTTTAATTTAAGGAGATTGATTTCTCGTGCGATAAAGAGAAGAATTAATGACGGATAAAAGCAATAATAATTATTTGACAGGCAAAAAATCATTCAAAAATAAATTTTCCTATAAAAATACTCACATACATGTTAAAAGCTCTGACTGAAAGGTAACCCTACGCTATCTACGGTGCAAACAGTATGCAAAATGCACCATGACCGATTCATTTATTTTCATTAGCTCAAGCCGCCATGCCGCGCCGCGCCGCGCCGCCGCCACCGTGCGAGACGGACCAGGCGCCGTGATACAACTATTACCGCTCTGTGGGTGTCCGTGCCGCAGATGCGAGGAAATGAAGGCGCTCCAGCTTTCATTGCACTCAGAGCAGCACGGGCACGCGGTTCGTCCCTCGGAGTCGCTGTCGGAATACAATCGACAAACGACCTCATCAGTACTTCCTCTTACACCGATAATGAGTCGTATTCAGCCCCCTCCATGACAGAATTTCTTGCACAACAGAGACGGACGGCTGTTGGTCATCGAGAAGACTTTACGCTAAGATGTACCGACAAGAGATAGTATTTGCTGGGCTTGAAAATTTCACGGTGATGATTAGAACCGTTAAAAGTAAGTATTTCACGTCATTTTGAAGATTCCTGGGCGTGCAAGAACGGTCATTTGGCCGAAAAATGCACGCGATTTGGTTGGTAACATTAAAAGGCTTCATGCTAGGACAATGCATTTCATGTGATTTTAGAGATTCCTTGCGGCACAAAAACTGCAATCTGGACGTGCGTTCAAGAGATATTATTTGTGACTCTAAAACGTCTCCATGCTCGGATGATGTATTTCCCGTTATTTAGGAGATTCCTTGGGACAAAAACGGTCATCTCGTCGTGCGTTTCTCGCGAAATTCTCTGTGACTTTCAAACGGCTCCATGCCAGGAGGATTTATTTCACGTGATATTGAAGATTCTTAGTGGAGCGAACGCGGCTTTCTGTTAGTGTGTTTCACGCATTATTTTTTTGTACTTTAAAACGACACCATGCTAGGACGATGTATTTCATGTAATTTTGTAAATTCCTTGGCGTCCCAAACGGCCATTTGGCCAAAGGATTCATTAGAATCGTTTAGTTTCTTTAAAATGACATCATGCTAGAGCGATGTCTTTTACGTGATTTTGAGGATCCCCAGGAATGCAAAAACGGCCTCCTACTCGTACGTTACATGCGATATTTCTTGTGACTTTAAAGCGACACAACACTAGAACGATGTCATTTACGTGATTTTCAGGATCCCTAGGTATGCAAAAACGGTTTCCTGCTCGTGCGTTACATACGTTATTTCTTGTGACTTTAAAACGACCCCATACCATGACAATATAATACCACTTGGTTTACGGCCACCAAATAGTTTTATGTGTCGATCGTTTGTAGCTACTATCGTCTTTTCTACTAATTTACTTAAATATCAGATTATTATTACTGCTTATTTTGGTCCTTTGGTAAATTCTGTAACGATGAAAAGCAAGGAAATTTCAATAGCATATTCACTTAGTACATTTGCAATTTCTTGTTATTTAGCACCAAGTTTATAACTTCGGACCCCTGACCAGAGTTCAAGATTGCAACACTTTCTTCTCCGTTTCCCTACCTGTTTTGCGTTTTGGAAAAAAAGGGACTCAGCCTCTTCTCTCATTAAGCTAGATGTTTTTTTGAAAATCATGCGAGCACAGAAGGAATGCTGCATTACTAGTGCGAGCCAAGGATGTTGGTGTAGGAGTTGAGTGCAGCAGTAGTCGTGCGTGTACAACTTCACCTGTTCATCTTTTATCTTATGAACCAATTCTATAGCGATGAGCTTTGATTTTTCATGACGTCTCTGAGTTAATAAGAGACCATTCCGGCCCCTCTTCTGGCCTTCTGCTCTCTATCCTGAGGGAAGACCACTTGTGGTCAATTCTCATATTTCACTGCTTTTGTATCTCTTTCTACTCTAATTTGAAGACATGTGACATAACTAACTCACACATTTGTTTGAGAAAAGTTAACTTTAAAAGGGAAGATTACCAAAATAAAAAAAAATTGTATTAACATTACATCTTCAATTATCTTTAATAATCTTGCTCATTTTGAAACTTCATGGTAAAAAAATTAGAGGCTCGAGGATCCCCTAATTTGTACTCTCTCGAAAAACCTTCATGAGTGAATAGAACTCGATCCCAGTATGCAGACCTGCAAGAAAAAAAAATAAATTAAAAATAATTAATAATAATTTTGAATAAGACCTTTGGTTTGCTTTCGGAAATTTATTTGGAGAATATACCATAAATATTCCTTCCAGCACTGCACTGTCGCTCTGTAATTAAAGGGGTCACACTTTCCCGAACGTAATAAATATGTATTGATCATACGGCTCAAGTGTGGAATCTTTTATGCTCAAGAGGAATTCTAGATGGACGTTCTCATTTCCAGATTAATTACGTAAGACATGCTTTATAATGTTTAAGATCTTGGAATATATAAGAGTAGTATATAATATAATATATTCATACATAGGCTGTCCAAAAAGTAATGCAATAATCGACGTAATAAATCGTGTAATAAAGCGAACGAAAAAAGCTAAAAAAATCCGTGTAGACGGGGTAAGAACCAATAAAATGAGACCTTGTTGAGCTCTGTCAAAAATTGACCGAGATATGACGTTTCTTCCGCGGCATGTTGAGAGACCGCCTCCAGGATTTTAGAGGTACTTTTTGCAAAGAAAAGGACGAATGTCAGTTAATTGAGCCTATGAAAAGAAATCAACAAAAAAACTTATCCTACCATGATTTTTACATTCAATTACTCTTCATCTAAAGACTGCAGACGTATACAGGCCCGCCACATCCTATCTCGGGCCCTGGTACCAGTTTTAAGGCCCGGGCCTCCAGCACAGAGGGGGTCCGGGAAATTTTTAAAATTTTAAATCTACTTGAACGCATTTTGAAGCTCCCACGACATCAGTTTCTGCAGAATTTTTATTTTTTACTTTTAGCACAAAATACTTTCGAATTGTTGCATTCAAAACATCTGAAAATTTTTTCGGGGAGGGAGGAGGGCAGATGATACTATTTTCAACTCTACGGGGGTCCAAGTCTCCAAGCCTCCCTGGACTCCCCTTTCGTACGTCTATGGCAAGGAAGTTGAGCCATTGAAGTCGAGGATGCCTACACTGGAGACTCTTAGCACGACGACTGAAGAAAATGAAACGCAGTCACTAAAAATATTAATCTGTACTAAAAATCTTGAAAACAAATAGAAATCTTTAAGGAAGTAAGAAAAATTCTACAGTGCCCCAGCATGTTTTTTAAAATTTATTCACCTTTTGCGAAATATTTCGGGTCAATTTTTCACTTTTCCTTACAAGACAAGCGTTACGTGTGAATTCGTAGTGGTTTTTCACCAGTGGCACAGGCCCCTCCACGGCCCGGGCCCCGGAACCAGGGACCCAGTATCCCCCCCCCCTTGTGGCGGGCCTGGACGTATATGCGTTCCTTTTCAAAGTACCTTCCTTTCATGTATCACACACAGACGAAGGCGTTCTTCCCATTTAACCAAAATTCAATTCTTTCTGAGCGAGGCTTTTGAGAATCAGTTGAACTTCAGCCTGAATTTCATCAGTAGAATTGAACATCTTATCATTTATGGCTTATTTTAATGTAGGAAAAAGCCAGCAATCGCAAGGTGTGATGTCCGGGCTGTAGGGGGGTTGGGGGAGGGTCACGATTCCTCTTTTCTCTATGAACTCCTTGGTGCTGCCATATGGGGGCGCGCGTTATCCTGGTGGAGTATCTAAGAGTCTTTCAGTTCAGGGCGCTTTTTCGCAATGTTTTCACGAAACTTGCCTATACTTTACAATAATACTTCCTATCGGCAGTTTGTGGAGCAAAATGTCGGTACACCATACCTTGCCAGTCACTGGTTTTTTTCTTTGCAAAAAGTACCCCTAAAATCCTGGAGGCGGTCTCTAACATGCCGCGGGAGAAACGTCATATTTCGGTCAGTTTTTGACCAGAAGAGCTCAACAAGGTCTCATTTTATCGGTTTTTACTCCGTCCACACGAATATATGCACCGATTTTTTGTAGCTTTTCTCGTTCGTTCTAAAAGTCAATTATAGCATTACTTTTTGGACAGCTTACGTATTTTTTGGCACCAAGGGCTTTGATTAATTTTAATACTTACTTTTCTTCTACATGAGACGCATTGAACTCGATTTTTCTTGGTTGCTTGTAGACCACAAAAACTACTCTGTGTTCACCTAGAATCATAAGAGTATAAAACATCAAAACGATAATGCGATTCAACGGACTGAACGTGTACCTGCACTGCACGACATTTTTGGTTCGAGTGATATGAACGGTGCTTCGATCTTCAAAGTTACTTGCAACTTTTTACATCGGCAATATTGAATTTGGTGCAACTCACTTTTTTTGTTTGGCCCCAGTGGAATTTCCTTTTTTATACGATGACAATTTCGGACTCAATAGTCCATCATTAGGCACACATTAATGTTCACGAATATTTTTCGCTCGTCAAACGATGTAAAAAAATATTTGTGAACATTAATGTGTACCTGAAAAGGGATTATTGATTAATTCCGAAATGGCCATTGTATAAAGAAGAAAATTTTACTATAGCTCCAGACTATGAGAAAAAAAAGTGAGTTGCACAAAATTCATCATGTCACTCGACAAAGTGTCACAAAACCAAAATCGTCAATATTTGTACGAGGGAAATCAGGACAAGTTTTTTTTTATTTATTCAGAACGCGCATGCACGGCTGCTTTGTAGGGAAAAAGTTCTCAAATACGAGTACCCATTTGTTTTTGAAAAGTCATGAAAGTAAAAAAGAACGGAAAAATAGAACTATGAAAAGCCAGATCTGTATTCCGTCCTGAGGAAAAAAATCGAGACACACATTTTTTCTAGGTTAGGCAAAACTGGAGCTCGGCTCTTGTGTGAGTTGTGTGACGAGTATTTTTGGGCGCTTCTGGGTACCAGATGCGCCCTTTCCAGCCGTTCGACTCCCCCGATGTAACATGTACTATACTACATACCGTTTTGCCTTATGGGTAATGACGCCATTCTGGTACACCCGGGAATATTTGATTTTCTTCTGCATCTGGTATTCGTAAAAGTTTTCGTGAAATGTTTTGCTTTTAAGCATAACAATCTCGCACGGACGTATTACCTGGTTAAACTATTTTGGGGCTTCGTTATGCTTAAATGCCTCATATTCGAGGTTGTAGTTTCAGATTGATTCGAAAAAATCACGAACAGTCACGTGATCTCTTCATTTTAGTGACGTATTACTGTGCTTTTTTGTGATTGGTTCATTTTCTCGGCGCAGCATCGTCAAGCGTCAGCTGTTTGCGGGGTTGAAGGTTTAAGGTTATGTCAGAGAGAATAGAAAGTTAGAGGCCTGACTCGATGCTAGGTAATTGAAACAGATGCGCTCGCAGCGCGCTCGCTGGCAACGTACGCAACTACTATTTTCTATTGTTTTCCAGAGACTAGCGACGGGTATGTTGCTGCCGGACCACCTTCATGTAGGCAATTTGTTATACATCGTCCGTCCGCAATACTCTCGCTTGGCCGTATGAAAACGTTCCTCGCATGCGCAGTGTTAAAGAAGCGCCCTCCAACGCGTTGGCGTTGGAACTGCTTGTTTAAAATTTATTACGAAAAAATAAAATGTTCGATCCTTTTTTGGAGGAAAGAGGAGGGACATTTCGTACCTGGTTCATACGCAATTTGGCCTCCTTGATATTCTGCTATTGTTTCACCCTCCTCGAAATTTGACCCGGGTATGTTCCCGACCAGCCAATGATTGTATTCTCGCTCATAGCAGTATTTGTGCGTCGGAGAATCGAGACCTGGAACGGTTTTAATATTCAATTTACTTTGTCATGGGTTTTCTCAATATTTGTTGTCTTATTTCTAATAATTTACAAATACCATTTTGAATACTTCAGAAGCTCTCACTGTAAAACAAGGTTAAGAGACTGGCCAATGTCATCGCTAAGGCGAAATTTTTTCAAAATGGGAGACCCTCCAGAAAATTGGGATAGTAGAACATTTACGTGAAAAACGAAATGAGCATGAAAATGAATGAGTAAGATTAAAGATCAATAACATGAAGCCTTATAGGTACCACTTCTTTGGAGCCACACTTTAAGATCTCTCCTTTATTCTTCGTTTCAACGGTTAGGCAAAAAAAATAGCTCCAACACATCGTTAATCGCAACTTCAAGGGTTGCTCTGTGTTTCGCACAGGCCGTCGCAAGAAAAGATTTTTAGCTACGCAAACAGCCAACGAGACTGAGTGAATTTAATTTTACCAGATCTTGAACCAGTGCTCTTCGTTGTTTATGAGGGTTAAGAGATGAGATGGCTCTTCATTTTTGGCCATGCATTTAGGTGCAGGTTTTTTTTCATCTCATCATTTTGGAAATGAGGGCGTGGATTTCGGATGTGTTATTTTCACCCGCCATTTTTCATCATCTTTATAAAAGATGATACTTCTGTTGACATTGTAGATATAAATGTAAATTTTAAAATGTCCCTTTATGTGCTGCTACCCTGCAATCTTAAACCATCAAAACGCGATTATATGACACGTGTTGCTGCTCCAAGCAAAAGAGTTTCCTCCATCTTAAAATAGTCATGACAATCGGAATTGGATGATATTGCCCTCGTGTTTTTACTTAAAACTTATATTGTATTTTATTTGAATTTTTATGTTATTGCAAGATTTATAGATTATAATGACTCATTGTCAGTTATTATTGTACTTACGTACCGAGTAGCATCAGCACATAATAGGCACCCTCCTCAATTGGCCATTCACAATGGTCAGGCTTCTTTATAGTTTGTAACAGCGTCAGATTTGTTCTGAAATCAACCTCTCTCGCATCTCGGTACCTGCACTGAGAAATTAATGATTGCAAAACCAATTGAAGCATCAAATAAATCTAGTAGGATTCTGTCAGGGTTTGAGAGTTTGACTGGAGAGATTGTGGGAGAGCAGGAAATAATTGAAGAAAATGTTTAAACGGCCGAAAGATATATTAAGTTGAATTTGGAAGAGAATTACAGAATTACAAAGATTGAATAGTCACACTTAGAATAAATAAAGCCAGAGGAGAGAAAATGGCATAACGTAGTACTACGGGTCAAGATGGTAAAAGGACCTCGAGAAATGGGCAGCGCAAGCTTTTATAGACTTGCTGACGTCACAGGTGGTGAGACAACAAGTCTACACGCTATTGGCTGGCTACAATCAGTGGAGCTATCAGCTGCAAGTTCAGTAATAAAAGTAATGGGTAATTTAAGGTGATGGCTGGGAGATAGGACTGAAAAAGAGGAAAGTGTACGAAATCCAGCTATCCCTAATGAGTGAACTGAATATGCATAAGAAATTTATAAGTTTAAGAAATGAACAAGTTGCTGGTATTTCAATACCTGTGACAGGTTCACAAATCTTCCCTTCACAACTACACCTTAGTGACTTACAATACATCAATTACACTTGTGATAGACTTATGTTTTGGTGGTTAAGAGTCATAAATCAACGGATAATTGATTAATCACCGCATTATTTGTGTGTCCAATAGTAGGGATTATTAAAGAAGCACAGACATTTAAAAAAATAAAAAAAATATGAATACATATCTAAATTTTGATAAATAATTTCACTGTTTCAGGGCCTGTGCTAAAATTATTCTATTTTTCTACTCAAGTGTTAAATTAAACATTCCAAGAAATGTCTTTGAATCCAAAAAGAAATCATACTTAATAAATCCTTATATCTTTGATGAGGTGTCATAATATACCCATTACGTTATGGATCTCTCGGCGTGACCCCAGTTTAATATCCCAATGCATCTACGTGAGCTGACCAAGTGAACACTCTTCTCCTACAGTCTTGTATTGATGTGCATTAGAGCTCAACATTCTTGACTCTAATTAAAAATGTTTGAACTTTGCGGACCTTTTTCCTCGCATAAAAGTGTGGACCGAGCACTATTTTACCACCTTGTTAAATCTCCATACTATTTACACACACAAAATAGTCACCTTTACAATATCCTTCGGTGCTTTGTCCTTGAATATATCTGGTATAATATTCCGCTCCTTGTACAGTTTTGTGATTCCATCCCGAGGCAACTCAGCAAAAACTACACGGTTCAAGTGAAAAAGTCCTATGATAAAAATGGACACTGCGATGTTAAACATAATAAGTTGTACAAGAGGTCTTTATCCAGTAGTTAGCCCGCTCTGACGTGTCTAATTTCTAATCCTCACGGGTCATTTCTTGAAAACGCGAAATAGAAGGACGTTCGGAGGAAAAAATGCACGAAATAGAATTGAGTTATACAACATTTTTAAATTCATTCTTTTCTATTTTTCTTTCACCTATCACGTTAACCCTTTGTTGCACGGTGGTATACATGTCATACCACTTCGGTTTTTAATTTTTACAGCGCTGCCAATGTGATGAGCGGGCTCAACTACTGAATCATTGGGTCCAATATACCTCTAGTTATCATTGCTAAATGGTATGACCATTCATTTTTACAAAGTGACATGGCTACAGCGTATTGTATGTCATGAAAACCCGGTATTTTAGGTTATGTCGGATCCGCATTGTTTTTTTTCGAGTCGTGTGTGAAAAATAGATGTTATTTCTTAGATAAATGTGATTCTCTAATCTAACTAGCCGTAATTTACTAGGTGCATTGCAGTTTTTACTTGATTTTTCATTTTGGTCGATTTTCTGAGCTGAAGTAAAGTGGTATGACAGTTATACCACCGCACACACAGCATTTTGTAGGAAAAGCAATTTTCTGTGCATTCTCGAGGAAATTTTTCTCCCCGTTTCAAGTTTTGATCCCAATGTCACTCGAAAACCGACATTTCCTTGTTCTAAGCGTATTTCTCGGGTGAAGGGCGAAGCTACTACCTCTCAAATTCAGTCGCCATCTTTGATTTGGGGCACCCTCTTTGACCGGGGTTTTTTTATGACTATGCATGCTTGAAATGTGCGACTAAAGTGATACAAGAATTGAAATCTAACTTGTCTAATCACATAAAATCCAAAAAATGCTCCCTCCTACCTTTCAAAATTGGCAGCCATCTTGGATTTAGGGTACCCCCTTTGAAAAGGAG